ACAGAGAATAGGCACTGGACCCTTACAGACAGTGGGCACTGGGCCCTCACAGACAGTCGGCACTGGATCCTAACACACAGTGGCCACTGGACCCTCGCAGACAGTGACCACTGGACCATCACAGACAGTGTGCACTGGACCCTCACAGACAGTGACCACTAGACCTTCATGGACAGTGGCCACTGGACCCTCAAAGAGAGTGGCCACTGGACCCCTCACAGACAGAGGGCACTGGACCTTCACAGGCAGTGGGCACTAGACACTCGCAGACAGTGGGAACTGGACTCTCACAGACAGTGCGACACTGGACCCTCTCAGAGTGTGATGCACGATATCCTCGCAGACAGTGGGCACTGGACACACTCAGGCAGAGGGCACTGGACCCTCACAGACAGAGGGCACTGGACCCTCACAGACAGTGGGCACTGGACCCCTCACAGACAGTGGACTCTGCATGTACCCTCACAGACAGTGGGCACTGGACCCTTACAGACAGTGGGCACTGGACTCTCACTGACAGTGGGCACTGGACCCTCACAGACAGTGGGCACTGGACCCTCACAGACAGTGGGCACTGGACCCTTACAGATAGTGGGCACTAGACCCTCACAGACAGTGGGTACTGGACTCTCACAGACAGTGGACTCTGCATGTACCCTCACTGACAGTGGGCACTGGACTCTCACTGACAGTGGGCACTGGACCCTCACAGACAGTGGGGCACTGGACCCCTCACAGACAGAGGGCACTGGACCCCTCGCAGACAGTGGACTCTGCATGTACCCTCTCTGACAGTGGGCACTGGACCCTTACAGACAGTGGGCACTGGACTCTCACAGACAGTGGGCACTGGACCCTCACAGACAGTGGGCACTGGACCCTCACAGACAGTGGGCACTGGACCCTTACAGACAGTGGGCACTGGACTCTCACAGACAGTGGGCACTGGACCCTCACAGACAGTGGGCACTGGATACCTTACAGACAGTGGGCACTAGACCCTCACAGACAGTGGGTACTGGACTCTCACAGACAGTGCGACACTGGACCCTCACAGACAGTGGGCACTGGACTCTCACAGACAGTGGGCACTGGACCACCACAGACGGTGGCCACTGGACCCGCACATACAGTGGGCACTGGACCCTCACAGACAGAGGGCACTGGACCCTAACAGAGAGTGGGCACTGAACCCTCACAGATGGTGGCCACTGGACCCTCACAGACAGAGGGCATTAGACCCTCACAGGCAGTGGGCACTGGACCCTTAAAGACAGTGGGCACTGGACCCTCACAGACAGTGGGCACTGGACCCTCACAGACAGTAGGCACTGGACCTTCACAGAGAGTGATGCACGAGCTCCTCGCAGACAGTGGGCACTGGACACTGACAGAAAGAGGAAACTGGACTCTCGCAGACAGTGGGCACTGGACCCTCACAGACAGTGGGCACTGGACTCTCACAGACAATGGGCACTTGATCCTCACAGACAGTGGGCACTGGACCCTCACAGACAGTGGTCACTGGACCCCCACAGACAGTGGGCACTGAACCCTCACAGACATTAAGCACCGGACCCCCACAGACACTGGGCACTGGACCCTCACAGACAGTGGGTACTGGACCCTCACAGACTGTGGGTACTGAACCCATACAGACAGTGTGCACTTGACCCTCACAGACAGTGGGTACTGGACCCCTCACAGACAGTGGGCTCTGCATGTACCCTCACAGACAGTGGGCACTGGACCCTTACAGACAGTGGGCGCTGGACTCTCACAGACAGTGAGCACTGGACTCTCACAGACAGTAGGCATTGGACCCTCACAGACAGTGGGCACTGGACTTTCACAGACAGTGGGCACTGGACCACCACAGACGGTGGCCACTGGACCCTCACATACAGTGGGCACTGGACCCTCACAGACAGAGGGCACTGGACCCTCACAGAGAGTGAGCACTGAACCCTCATAGACGGTGGCCACTGAACCCTCACAGACAGAGGGCATTAGACCCTCACAGACAGTGGGCACTGGACCCTCAAAGACAGTGGGCACTGGACCCTCACGGACAATGGGCACTGGACCTTCACAGAGAGTGATGCACGAGATCCTCGCAGACAGTGGGAACTGGACATTCACAGAAAGAGGGAACTGGACTCTCGCAGACAGTGGGCACTGGACCCTCACAGATAGTGGGCACTGGATCCTCACAGACAGTGGGCACCGGACCCTCACAGACAGTGGGCACTGGACCCTCACAGACAGTGGGCACTGAACCCTCACAGACAGTAAGTACCGGACCCCCACAGACTCTAGGCACTGGACCCTCACAGACAGTGGGTACTGGACCCTCACAGACTGTGGGTACTGAACCCATACAGACAGTGTGCACTTGACCCTCACAGACAGTGGGTACTGGATCCTCACAGACAGAGGGCACTGGACCCTCACAGACAGTGAGCACTGAACCCTCACAGACGGTGGCCACTGGATCTTCACAGGCAGTGGGTACTAGACCCTCACAGACAGTGGGCACTGGACCCTCACTGACAGTGTGCACTGGACCCTCACTGACAGTGGGCACTGGACCCTCACAGACAGTGTGCACTGGACCCTCGCTGACAGAAGGCACTGTACCCTCACTGACAGTGGGCACTGAAATCTCGCATACAGAGGGCACTGGCCCCTCACAGACAGTGGCCACTGGACCCTCGCTGACAGAGGGCACTGTGCCCTCACTGACAGTGGGCACTGAAATCTCGCATACAGAGGGCACTGGACTCTCACAGACAGTGGCCACTGGACCCTCGCAGACAGTGGGCACTGGACCCTCAAAGACAGTGGGCACTGGACCCTCAAAGACAGTGGGCACTGGACCCTCACAGACGGTGGCCACTGGATCCTCACAGACAGTGGCGACTGGACCCTCACAGACAGTGGACACTGGACCATCGCAGACAGTGGGCATTGGACTCTCACAGACAGTGGCGACTGGACCCTCACAGACAGTGGGCACTGGACCCTCGCTGACGGTGTCCACTGGATCCTCACAGACAGTGGCGACTGGACCCTCACAGACAGTGGACACTGGACCATCGCAGACAGTGGGCATTGGACTCTCACAGACAGTGGCGACTGGACCCTCACAGACAGTGGGCACTGGACCCTCACAGACAGTGGGCACTGGACCATCACAGACAGTGGCGACTGGACCCTCACAGACAGTGGGCACTGGACCATCACAGACAGTGGCGACTGGACCCTCACAGACATTGGGCACTGGACCATCACAGACAGTGGAGACTGGACCCTCACAGACAGTGGGCACTGGACCATCACAGACAGTGGAGACTGGACCCTCACAGACAGTGGGCACTGGACCATCGCAGACACTGGCAACTGGATGCTATTGATGTTTCGTGGTCAACGCTTTTAATGTGTATCTCAAGCTGCGGGATGAACAGATCTAGTCTAGTTTGTTGATCATCTTATTTTTGTTTCCTCCATGTTTGTAAGTTGTCTTTTACCTTGCATGGTATAGTTCCAATTCTATTGGATCAGATGTGGGGAATGTCTTGTTATGTGCAGCTTTTCTTTGCGTCACTCTCTGGAGGAAAGATTTTGCTTGTACTTTGAGGACTGTCGTCTTGTGGCCTGGTTAAATCTCTTTCTCTCTATGGGAGAATCTGCACGACAGTCACGACCACTCTCTCTCTATACACTAAAATGATTTGCAAAATGTAGGTGAAAAAGATGTTTTTCTCCTTGAAAAAATAAAACTAGTTCTTTTCAGAAGTCAGTTCTGTTTAGTCCACCCTTGCCATCAGGGCTCCTCCAACAGAACTTCCTAGCGTGTTCTCTGAGGAATGTGTTATATTAGTGGAGGTGGTGGTGGTGTGTGTGCATGTGTGTGCCCCCTGACACTGACGTCACACCTCTCACTGGCCCCCCGGACACTGACATCAGATCACTCACTGGACCCGCCCCCCTGACACTGACGTCAGGCCGCTCACTGGCCCCCTGACACTGACCTCAGACCACTCACTGGCCCCTCCTGACATTGACATCAGATCACTCACTGGCCCCTCCTGACATTGACATCAGATCACTCACTGGCCCCTCCTGACACTGACATCAGACCACTCACTGGCCCCTCCTGACCCTGACATCAGACCATTCACTGGCCCCTCCTGACACTGACGTCAGACCACTCACTGGCCCCCTGACCCAGACCTCAGACCACTCACTGGCCCCCTGACACTGACATCAGACCACTCACTGGCCCCCTGACCCAGACCTCAGACCACTCACTGGCCCCTCCTGACACTGACATCAGACCACTCACTGGCCCCTCCTGACACTGACATCAGACCACTCACTGGCCCCTCCTGACATTGACATCAGATCACTCACTGGCCCCTCCTGACATTGACATCAGATCACTCACTGGCCCCTCCTGACACTGACATCAGACCACTCACTGGCCCCTCCTGACCCTGACATCAGACCACTTACTGGCCCCTCCTGACACTGACGTCAGACCACTCACTGGCCCCCTGACCCAGACCTCAGACCACTCACTGGCCCCCTGACACTGACATCAGACCACTCACTGGCCCCCTGACCCAGACCTCAGACCACTCACTGGCCCCCTGACCCTGACATCAGACCACTCACTGGCCCCCTGACACTGACGTCAGGCCGCTCACTGGCCCCCTGACCCAGACCTCAGACCACTCACTGGCCCCCTGACACTGACATCAGACCACTCACTGGCCCCCTGACCCAGACCTCAGACCACTCACTGGCCCCCTGACCCTGACATCAGACCACTCACTGGCCCCCTGACACTGACGTCAGGCCGCTCACTGGCCCCCTGACCCAGACCTCAGACCACTCACTGGTCCCCTGACTCTGACATCAGACCACTCACTGGCCCCCTGACACTGACGTCAGACCACTCACTGGCCCCCTGACACTGACCTCAGGCCACTCACCTTGGACATGGTAGACACCAGGGACGAGGTAGGGGTCAGTAGTGAGAGTAGTCTGGTTGGCGTAGGACGGAGGCGCCTGCACTCCCAGGTCAATGAGGTAGGTTGTCCCCGCTGCCACCGGCGTCAGCGTCACTGTGATGCTCGCAGCCTGTTGGGAGACGAATGTTGAGGTGTGGCACCCTGTGGTAGTGGCACCCTGGGACCATGGCACCCTGGGACAGTGGCACCCTGGGACAGTGGCACCCTGGGACAGTGGCACCCTGGGACAGTGGCACCCTGGGACAGTGGCACCCTGGGACAGTGGCACCCTGGGACAGTGGCACCCTGGGACAGTGACACCCTGTGACAGTAGCACCCTGGGACAGTGGCACCCTGGGACAGTGGCACCCTGGGACAGTGGCACCCTGGGACAGTGGCACCCTGGGACAGTGACACCCTGTGACAGTAGCACCCTGGGACAGTGGCACCCTGGGACAGTGGCACCCAGGGACAGTGGCACCCTGGGACAGTGGCACCCTGGGACAGTGGCACCCTGTGACAGTAGCACCCTGGGACAGTGGCACCCTGGGACAGTGGCACCCTGGGACAGTGACACCCTGGGACAGTGGCACCCTGGGACAGTGACACCCTGTGACAGTGGCACCCTGGGACAGTGAAACCCTGGGACAGTGGCACCCTGGAACAGTGGCACCCTAGGAAAGTGGCACCCAGGGACAGTGGCACATTTTCATTGGTACTCACAGTGGCAGTGACACAATCTCCCTCTAACCACCCTGTGTGGTGGAGGGTCTCACTGAGTGTAGGGGAGGGTTGTGGTGGAGGGTCTCTCTAAGTGTAGGGGAAGGTTGTGGTGGAGGGTCTCTCTAAGTGTAGGGGAGGGTTGTCGTGGAGGGTCTCTCTAAGTGTAGGGGAGGGTTGTGGTGGAGGGTCTCTCTAAGTGTAGGGGAGGGTTGTGGTGGAGGGTCTCTCTAAGTGTAGGGGAGGGTTGTGGTGGAGGGTCTCTCTAAGTGTAGGGGAGGGTTGTGGTGGAGGGTCTCTCTAAGTGTAGGGGAGGGTTGTGGTGGAGGGTCTCTCTAAGTGTAGGGGAGGGTTGTGGTGGAGGGTCTCTCTAAGTGTAGGGGAGGGTTGTGGTGGAGGGTCTCTCTGAGTGTAGGGGAGGGTTGTGGTGGAGGGTCTCTCTAAGTGTAGGGGAGGGTTGTGGTGGAGGGTCTCTCTAAGTGTAGGGGAGGGTTGTGGTGGAGGGTCTCTCTAAGTGTAGGGGAGGGTTGTGGTGGAGGGTCTCTCTGAGTGTAGGGGAGGGTTGTGGTGGAGGGTCTCTCTGAGTGTAGGGGAGGGTTGTGGTGGAGGGTCTCTCTAAGTGTAGGGGAGGGTTGTGGTGGAGGGTCTCTCTAAGTGTAGGGGAGGGTTGTGGTGGAGGGTCTCTCTGAGTGTAGGGGAGGGTTGTGGTGGAGGGTCTCTCTAAGTGTAGGGGAGGGTTGTGGTGGAGGGTCTCTCTAAGTGTAGGGGAGGGTTGTGGTGGAGGGTCTCTCTAAGTGTAGGGGAGGGTTGTGGTGGAGGGTGTCTCCGAGTGTAGGGGAGGGTTGTGGTGGAGGATCTCTCTGAGTGTAGGGGAGGGTTGTGGTGGAGGGTCTCTCTAAGTGTAGGGGAGGGTTGTGGTGGAGGGTCTCTCTAAGTGTAGGGGAGGGTTGTGGTGGAGGGTCTCTCTGAGTGTAGGGGAGGGTTGTGGTGGATGGTCTCTCTAAGTGTAGGGGAGGGTTGTGGTGGAGGGTGTCTCCGAGTGTAGGGGAGGGTTGTGGTGGAGGGTCTCTCTGAGTGTAGGGGAGGGTTGTGGTGGAGGGTCTTTCTAAGTGTAGGGGAGGGTTGTGGTGGAGGGTGTCTCCGAGTGTAGGGGAGGGTTGTGGTGGAGGGTCTCTCTAAGTGTAGGGGAGGGTTGTGGTGGAGGGTCTCTCTGAGTGTAGGGGAGGGTTGTGGTGGAGGGTCTCTCTAAGTGTAGGGGAGGGTTGTGGTGGAGGGTGTCTCCGAGTGTAGGGGAGGGTTGTGGTGGAGGGTCTCTCTAAGTGTAGGGGAGGGTTGTGGTGGAGGGTGTCTCCGAGTGTAGGGGAGGGTTGTGGTGGAGGGTCTCTCTAAGTGTAGGGGAGGGTTGTGGTGGAGGGTCTCTCTGAGTGTAGGGGAGGGTTGTGGTGGAAACCTGGAAACAAAAACCGTAACTGTCTCTGTTTTCGCTTGTTACAACTTGTAATAAAGTTGTTACAACATGGCTTAACGTGTTTGTGACCAATTAGAACGTAGTTACAACTTGCTATATTGGTTGTTATAACTTGTTAGGTGTTAAAACTTGCTCGAACGTTGTAACAACGTCGTAGTTTCGGTGTGTGTTTGGCGGGACTAGGGTGTCTTTGAGTGTAGCGGATGGTTGTAGGTGGAGGATCTTTCTAGGTGTAGGGGATGGTTGTGGGTGGAGGATCTTTCTAGGTGTAGGGGATGGTTGTGGGTGGAGGATCTTTCTAGGTGTAGGGGATAGTTGTAGGTGGAGGATCTTTCTAGGTGTAGGGGATGGTTGTGGGTGGAGGATCTTTCTAGGTGTAGGGGATGGTTGTAGGTGGAGGATCTTTCTAGGTGTATGGGATGGTTGTGGGTGGAGGATCTTTCTAGGTGTAGGGGATAGTTGTGGGTGGAGGATCTTTCTAGGTGTAGGGGATGGTTGTGGGTGGAGGATCTATCTAGGTGTAGGGAAAGGTTGTGGGTGGAGGATCTTTCTAGGTGTAGGGAATGATTGTGGGTGGAGGATCTTTCTAGGTGTAGGGGATGGTTGTGGGTGGAGGATCTTTCTAGGTGTAGGGGATAGTTGTAGGTGGAGGATCTTTCTAGGTGTAGGGGATGGTTGTGGGTGGAGGATCTTTCTAGGTGTAGGGGGTAGTTGTAGGTGGAGGATCTTTCTAGGTGTAGGGGATGGTTGTGGGTGGAGGATCTTTCTAGGTGTAGGGGATAGTTGTAGGTGGAGGATCTTTCTAGGTGTAGGGGATGGTTGTGGGTGGAGGATCTTTCTAGGTGTAGGGGATAGTTGTGGGTGGAGGATCTTTCTAGGTGTAGGGGATGGTTGTGGGTGGAGGATCTTTCTAGGTGTAGGGGATGATTGTGGGTGGAGGATCTTTCTAGGTGTAGGGGATGATTGTGGGTGGAGGATCTTTCTAGGTGTAGGGGATGGTTGTGGGTGGAGGATCTTTCTAGGTGTAGGGGATGATTGTGGGTGGAGGATCTTTCTAGGTGTAGGGGATGGTTGTGGGTGGAGGATCTTTCTAGGTGTAGGGGATGATTGTGGGTGGAGGATCTTTCTAGGTGTAGGGGATGGTTGTGGGTGGAGGATCTTTCTAGGTGTAGGGAATGGTTGTGGGTGGAGGATCTTTCTAGGTGTAGGGGATGATTGTGGGTGGAGGTTCTTTCTAGGTGTAGGGGATGGTTGTGGGTGGAGGATCTTTCTAGGTGTAGGGGATGGTTGTGGGTGGAGGATCTTTCTAGGTGTAGGGAAAGGTTGTGGGTGGAGGATCTTTCAAGGTGTAGGGGATGGTTGTGGGTGGAGGATCTTTCTAGGTGTAGGGGATGGTTGTGGGTGGAGGATCTTTCTAGGTGTAGGGAAAGGTTGTGGGTGGAGGATCTTTCAAGGTGTAGGGGATGGTTGTGGGTGGAGGATCTTTCTAGGTGTAGGGGATGATTGTGGGTGGAGGGTCAACTCTGATAGGAGGAAACTCTACTGGCGGTAGAATGAGTGGGGGGGGGGAGAGAATGGTGGGTTGCTGGGAGATGGGGGGTTGATGGTGAGCGAGGAATCGGTGCCTTGCGTGGGTGGAGTGGAGCGCAGGAGCACATGACCACAAGATTAGGTGAATGCAGGGCTCTAATTAGAGGGGAAGGTTGTAGGTGGAGTGATCTGTACTGTAGGTGAGGTAAGTTGTTGTGGTTATAGGTTCAACTGCTCAGAACAAGAAGTTCCAATAGCACGGGCTATGGTGAGCCCGTAAGTGAGGTGAGTGAAGGGGAGAGGGGGAAGGGAGGAGGAGAGAGGGGGAAGGGAAGAGGGGAGAGGGGGAATGGAGGAGGGGATAGGGGGGAGGGAGGAGAGGAGAGGGGGAAGGGAGAAGGGGAGAGTGAGACACTGTTGTTTCAATATTTGGTTTGCTTGCACATTGCTTAAACTACTTTAAGGTGTGACGGTAACGCGTTGGTGTTCGGCTGTTTAAGGCTAGGGGTATGGCCTCGTCACATAGTTATATAAAAAAAATAGAAAAAACTGGAACTTCGTCTGTGGTAAGGTAAGGAGAAGACACACAAAACACAAGTAAACTTTAACAATGAAATTTTAATTACGTTAAATAAATCAAAACATGAAAAAATGGACAAACAAATTTGTATAATAAAATCAATCAATCAAAATAATAAGAATACTTAAATGACACAATGAAAAGTTACGTTAAGGCAAAATAACAAGAAGTGCAATACAAAATTATATGGGAGGTGCTGGAATATTGGCTTTAATCCACCACTTCCCTCAGTACACGCTAGCGTCTAGCCGGGAGGAGTGGTGACAACGAGAGCACCGAATATTCTGAGGTCTGAGGTCGTGGCGACCCCAGACATCATGTAGTATGGGGGGGTGGATGCAGGTGCAGCCAGACCGGCGACCAATCAGCGGAGCCGGTAGCGATCAACATGTAGTTTGGCGGTTTGAGTCCGAACAGGTGTCTGGCTGCAACGTTTTGCGCTCTGGCAAGCCTTGCTGGTGTTGTTGTCGTTGTTGGACATGTCTTCCATAGTCGTTTTATATAATTTCAACGACGTAATTATGGAGGGAAGAGCAGGCTCAATCTCTTGAAGGAGATTATCGTCACAAAGGTAAAACAAGTTTCAATTTAATTATTTATTTATTTTGGTAACTGTCAAAACTATAAAGATTAAGTACAACTTGGAAAAAGAGCCATAGTTCTAGAACTCTGTTAACCACACTAGAAATGTTTTGCAAGTCAAGGAACCCAAAGTGTAAAATGACCTTCCCAATCAAGTGAAAGACTGTCCCCCTCTCAATTAGTTTAAGAGAAAAACTAAGTACTACCTAATAAACTCCATGTAACCAACCTTACCCCCTAAATGTCAATC